ATTTCATGAATGCTGAAAGCTCTGAATCAAAAATGTTTCTGATCTTTTCAAAACAAAGGATAAAATGGGATTAAATGGCAATATTTCTATTTGATGTCTACAAATACTTCTAAGTGTTAAACTGGCAAGGCCACCAAAATAAACTGTCCCACACTATTCTATGCCCCAGAAGCGTTTACATGAAAGAGAAGATAGTATCATCACTTTCAGCTGCAGTGCTGGCTTGAAATGTTTGTAACACTATGACAACAGACACAGGCCAAATTGGCCAGCTCATGTATATAGACACTTCACAATCATTTTAGTTTAAATAATATTACTGTTAGTTAAACGAGCTTTAAATATTGTGCTTCTGCAAAATATGCATATAATATCAGAGAAAATTATTTGTTCATCATTTTATCACCCAGCTCTAATTCTTTTTAATAGAATGGACTCCAAGGGTCCAAGTTTTAGTCCCTCATCAGTAAGTTACACCTTGTGTTTCTTCTCTGAATGATCTACTTTCTTTCACAGAGTACAGACATACACACATTCTCTAAGGTTACTGTAGAGTATCTTATTGTACCTTAAAAGAATTATTAAATCTTAGCACAACTACTCACTAGGATACCTACAATTCTCCAGTTCCTTTTAATATAATTCTTGAATGTTACAGATGCACAAACTTTGATAACATTTTCCTGTGATTTCTCCAGCAGCGTTAAGAGTAACAATGGGTAGTTCTGGCTTCCTTCAACTGACTCAAGAAACTTTTCCGCTGTAAGAGAATATACTAAGGTTAGCAAAAACTGAACTGATTTTTTTTTAATAGGAGTCTTATGATTCCTCAAGCGTGTATTTAAAATAATCAAACACATGAACGCTTCTCCAGAGTTTCACAAGAACAGAAACACAGAACAAGTCTGACAAAAGGTACTGTAGCTTCTTTACTACTAAGCTCTGTAATGCTTCTGCTATTAACAAAAGCTCTCAATTCAAAGCAGGATGTGGAAATATTGCCTCCTCACTCTTTTTAAAAGCCATAACCTGCTAGAAGTAAATCCTGGTTTACTGTGAACAGCAGCACTGTTTTAAATAACAACAGTACAAAAAAAAAAATTCAGGAATACAGGAAAATAAAATTACAAAAAGCAAACAAAATAAATTTATATTCATATCCAGCCTTCATTTTTTTGTTTGTTTGTTTTTTTTTTTTCTTTTAAAAGGATACTGAGAACTTCTGCAGAGGTTACTGCATAAACATCCACTGAAGTTTTCTATACACAGACAGAAAGCCAAAAAGAAACTAAACTTTTTCAGTCACTCATGAGAATCACTTACCAGGACGCCTTATAGCAGGATCTGGATCTAGTGTTTTCTTTAGATACTCAGTTAAAGTCTGTAAATTGGCATCACTCAGCTCCATTTTGGCAGAACCTAAAACCCACAAGTAGTTTTATTGTAAATACAGATCAGAAAGTGTATCCTATAAGCTATATGTAAAACTAGATTCCACAGAAGACACATATCAGCTCTTTTTGACTATACCTCATAAAGCAAGGTCCTATCTTATATGTCTCACCCAATAAAACAACAGCTAGCGTGCACCAAGCACAAAACAGAAAACATTCCATTTTTTCAACTACATGTAACTGTTATTGTCTAGTTTATTGAAACCAAACTCCTAGAACAGGATCACACATCCAGCAAACCATGAACCAGGTACAGCCGAAAGATGATCTTTTGCCCTTTCAGGTCAACAGGAGTTTGTTTTTGCTTTTGAGAACTTCTGTTAGCCCCAGAAACCTGTTTCTGGTTGAAAAAGCTGAATAGTCCTGCCCTACATAATCGTAAATTGAACAATTCAAAGTGTATTGGAGAGTCAAGGCTTGTTTAAAAATAAATACTCATTATCAAAGAAAACTCTCAACAGAAAATTAATTTTTTATAAAGAGACAAAAGACTGTGCAAAGCCAGAGGGTTTGTCCACCCTGTAAAATTAACTTAGATTAGGGTGGGAGTTAATTTAAACTGCAATACTTATTACAGAATAACTCTGTGCAATAAGTCTAAATTACTCTTCTCTAGTAATCCTCCCACACACATTCTCATACTTACCACAGCAGTATATTAACTTCACAGCTTTAATTGGAAAAATTTAAATTACAGTAACACTTAAACAGTAGCAAGACATGCTTTAATGGCCACGCTGTTGCTCAGGATACCATCATCAGTTCTGCCCATCTTTCCTACCACCAGCAGCACAGTTCACTCACTATGGAAGTAATGAGGAAGCAAAGATTTCCATTTTTTCCTCTGGAGTTTCTAACTAGTAAGATAGACTGAAATTTGTCTGTCCCACTTTAGATTTGTTTTATGTTGATTATCAGTGCAATAAATATAGTTTCTATTTAAGTACGCTTGCAAAGGCACTGAGTTTTAATGACACAATTTTTACTTTAACTATGGCATCTGTATCATTAAAAGAGACAGCAACAGTATCCTCTCGAATTAAATGAATGTTAATGAGTAATTGAGATCCGAACATATTTTGCAAAAAGTAAAAATCCACAGAAAGAGTCCTGCCTCCCTCCCATGTTTCACCCCCCCTTCCCTTTTGGGGGTTTACTTGTCTGTAGTCTTGTTCACCAATTCACAGCAACCAACAATCCCAATAAAGTACAGCATAAGCAAACAGCACCAATAATAGCTGGCTCCTCTGTTCTACAAAATGGCCTCATGCATCATTGCTATGATCTTGAAACTAATACTTAAATCTTTCATCATTAGAAAAACCCATAAATTATCTGCTCCAAGGAAATCTGTAAGGCTGAGGTGCAAACCCATGTAGAAATCATTTATGAAGACTAAACTTGACTCAAATAGGTAACCAAACTGAAAGAGACCAACAATCCTGAATGGCCTTTTACAAATGCCTCACATACATATGTAATATAGGGGCCCATATAAAATAAAGACACTTCAAGCTGACTGCGAGTTTACTTTGAAGGCCAAAGGCAGAGACTTGAATTCATTACTCAGTCCCTCATACAAAAGGATAAATATTTTCACCTGCTACCTGCTTACTCTCATTTCCTTCTCTTCCTCTAGCTATTTTTTTTTTTTGGTGGTACCACCAAAAAACTGGTGGTACTTGCTAGAGTGATACGATGCTTTGTGCTATGTTGTGACATAGGCCTCCTGAAAAGGCCACAGAAAATGAGAATATTTTCAGAGCACCTCTCCAGAAGAAAACCTGTAAAATGTGCTTAACGTATTAACTACTGTAGTCGAATTAATGACAGACCACTTATGAACAAAAAAAAAACCCAAACCAAAAAGCTTCTG